ACACACACACACACACACACACACACACACACACAACACACACACACACACACACACACACACACATACATACATACACATACACACATATTCATACATGCATACATACATATTTATACATACATACACACACACACACACACACACACACACACACACACACACACACATATATACATATACACATACATATATATATATACATAAATAAATACATACATAAAAATACACACACACACACACACACACACACACACACACACACACACACACATATATATATATATATATATAAACACATATATAACAAGACATTATTTTATAACTTTAGTGTGTGTATACATTACCAAATATTTTAAAAAGATAATAATAAGGTACAATACGTAACGTTTTGCAATAAATATGTGTTAAGAATGCGCTGTTTTTAGATTTCACATGGATTTTAAACTGATTTCAAACCACTTCCAACAAAACCAAAATGAATGTCATTATTCTAAAAAGGTAATGGTTCACACACTGAGCCCATGCGAGTGAACATATCTTTAAGGTACTTACTAGCCCCAAAAGCTAAATAAAGTGTACCGTTTGAGCAGCTACTGCAGTAGTGTCCGCTTTTACACCTGTATTCCCGAGAGTGCATGTGACATTTACAACCGCCATGTCATAAAGTCCGAATTCTGTAAATGACCTTAACACATCGTCATGCGCAACGGTGGACAACTGTGACCCCCGAGGCCTGCTGTGCTTGCATTCGTCTGCGTCTAACTATCCAACATTCTTTAAAATCTTGATCTATTTTGATCCTAAAAAGGATCATCCCAGGATCATCTGATCGGCTAGGCTATGTACAAAGTTTATTTATTATTATGGAAAAGCACGTTTGGTGTTAAGTAGTAAATCAGGAGATGGAAGCATTTCATGCTACGGTGTTCTCCTGTTATTTTGATAAAACTGTTAGCAAAACAACGCTAAATTTAATCAGGTTAAGCGGAAAACGACCTAAAGGCAAATTTTACATTAGAGTTTTACCATTTTTGAATCCATCCAGCCAATCTCCGGGCCTGGTGGGAGCAATTTTAGCTTAGCTTAGCTAAGCATAGTTTATTGAATTAGACCATTAGCATCTCACGTAAATATCTATATTATGTTATCATTGCACCTGCTGCAGCCATAAAACAGCAGCAAAGTTCCTTGATTACTACACCTGATTGACAAAATATAGTTCCCAGGCAGAAAATAGCATCCATAAGTCCTAATACGCAATGTAACTAGAGAAGAGTTAAGCGTTAAATAGGAAAATGATCAAAACTTTTTTTTGAGCGAGATGCTAACGGTCTAATTCGATTCAATGATTTATGCTAAGCTAAAATAAAAGCGTAGAATGAATGGATTCAAAATAAAACTCTAGGGGATCTGCCAAACTGCTTAGCATAATATCTTAATAAAGTTGGGGACGCGCCAATGGCGGATCAGTGTCCGCCCCCGTGTGGTGTTTACTGGTAGCGCATCTTTACAGTATGCATATGTGATAGGTTTGGTTACGGCGCTAGCTTAAGTTTTTGTTAGTCAGACAGTTAAGGCTACTTATCAGAATATTGGGAATTGTCGGGCAGACAAATTTTAATTGGATGAAGACTTCTAAGTCTTATGCCCCTGTTTATTTTCCCCCAATTTTTGTTTAGCGGAAGATTTTTTCAACACATTTCTAAACATAATAGTTTTAATAACTCATCTCTAATAACTGATTTATTTTCTCTTTGCCATGATGACTAAATAATATTAGACTAGATATTCTTCAAGACACTTCTATACAGCTTAAAGTGACATTTAAAGGCTTAACTAGGTTAATTAGCTTAACTAGACAGGTTAGGGTAATTAGGCAAGTTATTGTATATCGATGGTTTGTCCTGGATCAAAAAAAATTGGCCTAAAGGTGCTAATAATTTTGTCCTTAAAATGTTGTTTAAAAAATTAAAAACTGCTTTCATTCTAGCCTAAATAAAACAAATAAGACTTTCTCCAGAAGAAAAAATATTATCAGACATACTGTGAACATTTCCTGAATCTGTTCAACATCATTTGGGAAATATAAAAAAAAAGACAAAAAAATTCAAAGGGGGGGCGAATAATTCTGACTTCAACTGTATAAATATGCTTAGATGCCAAGAACAAGATAATAACAACATATTTACATTAATAAATATAAAAGTAATAGTGCATTTAAGTCACCCTAATCAACTCAAACAACACAGCTTTATGTTTTTTCAAGTGTGTTTAATTAGGGATATGTGCTGCCGATCTGAAGGACAGCGGCCCTCCAGGACCGAAGCGCATCATTCCTGACCTAAATAAAGGAGCTGGGCCCTGTGCCAGTGTTTATCATGCTACAAACACAGCCGGTCCAAAAGGCTACACTGATAACTCCCACATGCTGGTGTCACTGCAAGCGTCAGGTGTTAACTGAATCTCACCAAAGACTGTAGATAGACAATATAGTTAGTAATGTGTATATATATATGTATGTATATATATATATATATGTGT